ATAGAATAGATTTTGCATAAATCTCAAAAAGTCGAAATACCTCAAAAATCCAAAATCAATTTTGAAAACATGTATAGTTATGATATAATTTCAAAGGTTTTTGAATTAATATAATTACTGATGTTATTTTTATTAAATTTTGATTATTTTTATTTATATTTAAGTTATATATGCTTTTAAAATTAAAAATCCAAAACCTGACCCTGGTTAATTTAAAATGATCCCAAAATTGAATTCCGAAATTTAAAATTAATTCCAAAATTATTATAAAAGATGAAAATATTTACAGGGGTCAAAATTATTATAGAAGACAAAATTTAGTAAATCCCAATTGAAATTAGCATTTCAACGGATGATAAAATAGTTGTAAAACTCCAAAATTATAGATCTATAGATTTTTTTTTTTTAAAAAAATAAAATTTAGGGATTGTGCAGATGATCGCGAAATGGCATGGGTTTTTTCTTTCTTTATTATTATTTTTTTAATAAAATAATTCACTTATCTTTCTACCTCTTAATTTATCCTTTTACTTCTTTTTAACTTACCCATCAGTAATTATATTTATTCGAAAACCTTTGAAATTATATCACAACGTTAGATTTCAAAGGTTATCGATTGTGTCGCAACCCTTCAAAATTAAAATTTAATGGTTAAATTTCAATACGTATTATTTCGTTATCAAAAACCTTCAAAGTTCAATGCTAAATTTTTTAATGATAACATAAACTTTCGAAATTCAACAGCTAGTATTTTAACGTATTTTGTTTCAAGTTTATCGTTTTTGGATTACTTCGAATTTAATTGTTTTCATTGTAATTCAATATATATTGTGGAAAATTTCATTTTGTAATATTTTATTACTTTCTGAATTTTTACATAATTTATTATTAATTTTATTATTAAAAGATGATAATAAATATTTTATAACATTTTTTTCTATTTTTCTATACATTTTCATATGATAATGCAATAATGTAGCCACATGTCATGACAAAAAAAAGAAATATAAGTCCTTCACTATGCTCTGAACAAAAATAAAATAATAATAGATATAAATGTTATATATTGATCTGTAATATAGTATATTGCAAACTATAAGAGTTGATGACTTTTATAAGATACACACTAGTATCAGTATTAATAACATTCTAGAATGATACATTATATAACATTTAATATTGATAATTCATATAATGTTATTAATATGTACCTTCATAAAATGTTGTAGAACAGATCGTTCTAGAATGTTATTTATACTTATCATTCGTAAAATGTTGTAAAACACTTTTATATAATTCCTGATGTGTTCACCTTTAGATTCATAACACTTAACAAATATAGTGCATTCTGGAAATGTCATAATTTTTTTTGACAATTTCTTGTAGAATTACATGTAAAAAATCCAATACATGGCACTTGAAAATTTTTATCAAAAATATTCCATGAATGATCTTTGCATCCTTTTCCTTGACTATAGAAATAAAAATATTTGTTATAAAAAAAAATATCTATATCTTTTAACTTTACATTGTTGCATAGTTTACATTTGTTTTACTTTAGATCTATGATTTTTTTGATTATAATTAAAGTGTTGTATACATACTCATAATGATAATTTTTCTTTTTTAAATTCAATTAATTAATTAATATTTTTAATATTTTCTGTTCCACCGTATGTTTATAACTTGCTATCTTTTAAAATCAACAAGAACACATGGTAAAAATGGCGTGGTAAATTGTTAATCTCTATAATTAAATCACTAGACATACATATCACTCATATACGATCAAGAATTTTTAAGTAGCATTGCTTTGTAAAATAATTTTTCTGGAACGTGCACGTGTGTTTATTTATAAAGTGATATAAATCTTATTTTTTCCGATCAATGTTGTAAATTCAACAAATGGATATAAATACGTTAAACTGCTTTCTTTAAAGAAACAAAAATGATAAAGCTTTTCCTATTGAAATAAATGGAAATAAGACCGTTGATCAACTCAAGGAAGTTATTAAGGAGAAAAGACTACTGCTTCATGGTTTCAATGCACAAAAGCTCAAGTTATGGAAGGTTCAAATTTGCATAGTTAACGATGAGAACCTTGAACTCTGTGAGGATCAACTTATCAAAACGTGGATAATTAGTGATTACTTTACTGACGAACCGCTTTATAAATATATTCACATTATTGTCAGATCACCTATACCACCTGTTAAATTTGATCTTGTATGTAAGTGAAAACTTTTGAAAGAAGGAGGAACCATAGAATGCGTAGATAAAAATCGTAATCATAAGGTAACATTATATGAAGGTCTCTTTTGTACAAAAGATGAAACGTATAGTTTGTTTATAGAATTTATACAAGTAGCCAAGGAATTAAAACCAAATGAAAAATCTAACCCCTTTAATTTTTGCAACTTAAAAATTAACGATATGACTTATGAGGAAGTTAGAGATTTAATCTACGAATTGAGATACTGCGAGGAACATGATTCTGAAGGTAGCCTTCTCATCACTTATTCTTTTTAGTCGAAATAGGCCTTAACTTTCATGTATTACATTCAAATAGAAATTAGTGATAGTGCAATCTCCGAAGGATAACTTTCAAATATAATCAAAATAATTCCCTGGAATGAAGATCTTAAGAATTGCCTTTGCAAGCTATACGTGAGGGATGACGTCGTGAACATATTTTGGGGCCAAAGCATTCTCACCAGTGAAACAACATGGAATGTTTACATTGTTACCTGTGATTTTAGCCTACGCGAATAGGAAAAAGAAGTCACAGGTCAATTAATTCGTTTCATACCAGAAGGAAAAGAGTTTCTCAATGCTAGAATTCCACCACAAAGTTTCCATGATCCTCTGCCAACCTGGGAAAAGATCTCACAAGATTTACAGAAGGTTTTTGATAAAACCTTAGACAATGAACTGAGACCATCGTTCCGAAAAGTGCATTATAATTTAGTTGATATGAGTATTGGATATAAGCAAATTCAAGGTAAATATACAGATGAACTTGCTATTATACTATATGTTCACCAGAAAGGTATTCTACGCCTAGGATGTGGTGGCTCATTTTCAAAAGAGATTTGTGAGTATCCAGTAGATGTTATTGAGGCCTGTGTTACAACTCCCTATAGTTTTTATAAGAGCAGATGTCTAGATTATCAAAAGAATATTCTGTTAGGATCAAGTATAGGGGTGATAGGATCTCAGAGAACATCTGGGACTATTGGCGTTGTTGTTATTGACAAAGATTCAAAACAAATAGGCATCCTTTCATGTGAGCATGTATACAAATTTAATGAATCGAGTTCTGAAAAAGGCAACATAATATATCAGCCTTCGCATGATAATTTAGATGAACGTAAACAGGAATTTATTGGAATGGCATTAGATGATGAAAGGTACAAAGAAGATTCTGAAAGAATGTATTGTAGAATCGAAGAGAACAGACAGAATTCTAAACTGGCTCGCTATGATTGTCTCATACAAAACAACTTCTTCTCTATTACACATCAAAAAAGCTTTGGTGTTGATGTCGCATTTTGTATTCTTACAAATAAAAGTCGTACGTTATGTCCAGATAAATTTTCAGTTCTCTCAGAGTGCTTCAAAAAAGTCAAACTTCCTGAAAACACTTGTCTGAACAGTTTTTACACATATAAAGATTTTGATGACATCGATGAGCTTGAAGTCTTTAAAGTAGAAAGTGAAACAGGTCTTTCTTGTGGAAAATTAGTTCCTGTTAGTACTGCTGTTTCCATTGATCTTACAAACGAAAGCATTAAATTCGCAGAAAGAGAAAGTTTAGGTGAAATTCCACAAATCCCATCAAGTATTGAATTTACAGACAAGGAATATTTCATTGGATACATGAAGTTGCCAATTTACAAAAATTGTCAGAAATGTTATCTTACTGTGTAATTTGATTAGCAATTAATTTTTTATTTCAGATCTGGAGACTTTGAATGTGGAGACTCTAAGGCAAGCGTTGTGAACCAAAAAGGAAAAGCTCTTGACATCCTTCATTTGTTATGGATGACTAAATTCAACAGTTACACTATTGCATCCCCTTACTTTCATCAGGAAATTTTTTCTAGTGAAAACCTTCGAAAGTTAACGTTAACGTAAGTATTTTGCTGTTTTTCGATATGTTATCCTTCGAAGGTCTTCGCTAACCTTCGAAGATTATCGATTTTGATATTTTCACGTGGCAAAATTTTGCGAATATTATCGTTTTCGTAGTAAATT